ATTTCTTCAATTCTCTTGAAGGCATTCCAAGCCACTCTCTTCCTCCTGCATAACTCAGGTGCCAGGTCATTCATCTTGTTGATTTCTCGACCTCGGTATATATAACTGTTGCATTCGGAGATGGTGGTTTTGTTGAGAGTGAATGGATGATCAGTAACAAGACTGTTTCTCACGAACATTGTCTTTGTGAGATTCTGTTGCAATCCAACCTTTCCACACTCACGGTCGAAGTCGGTCAGCATTTGTGCCACTTGGCTTATGTTTGGTGTTATTAGAATGAGGTTATCAGCAAAGCGGAGGTGGTGTAGTTGCCAACCATCTATCTTCACTCCCATTCCTTCCCATTCCAGTTGTCGCATGATGTTCTCGAGGGTGGTACTGAAGAGTTTTGGTGAAATGGTATCACCCTGCCGAACCCCTCTCTTGACATGGATGATTACTTCTTTGTAGAATGGAGAGATCCTGGTAGTGAATCCATAATAGAGCTCATGGAGGATCATGATGTATTGAATTTCTATGCCCTGATTGACTAGGGCTTCAATGACTGCTTCCTTCTCAACAGAATCAAAAGCCTACTTTAAATCAATGAACGCCAGACAGAGCGGCACGTTGAACTCCTGAGAAACCTCAAGGAGCTTAGTTATCGTGTGGATATGGTCAATGCTGCTGAATCCTTTTTGGGACCCGGCTTGTTCACATAGTTGTCCTTCATCTAGTGTTCTGCCAATCCTATTCTGGATGACTTGAGTGAACAGTTTGTAGATGACAGACATTAGGCAGATTGGGCGATAGTTGCCAATGTTGTGGATGTCTCCCTTCTTTCATAGTAGTACGGTCTTGCTGGTTTTCCATTGGGATGGAACCTTGCATTCAGACAGGTAATATGTGAAGAGCTGAGCCAGTGTATTGATGAGTACTGACGGCAGGTTCTTCAGGTGCTCAGGTCTGATCTTGTCTGGGCGAGGTGCTCTTTGTTTCTTTACCGAAGAGATGGCATGTTGAAATTCGGAAGGGAGAACATTGGGAACGACATATCCATCATGCAGAATTTGGTATGTGGGCAAGTGGATGTGGCTATTAAAGAGGTCTGAGTAGAAGTCATGAATAATCTGCATTGCCCTTGTGGAAGATGTGATAGATCCATCAGGATGTCGGAGGGCAGTCATCTTGGTCTTGTAGTTGGTGAAGGACAGCGGGCACTACAAATGCTTTTCCTGGCTTCTGCCACATCTACCAGCACTGCTGTTCTCCTGTCTTTGAGGTCATCCTTGATCTCTTCTCTGCACTGTTTTGCCAGCTCAGACATTTGCTTGCCGTTGCCTGAGGCATGTGCCAAGCCACGTTGGCGAATAAGTTCAAGAGTGTTCAAATCAAGGTGGTTTTTTGTGGTTATCTCTCTCTTGGCATTCCTCGCACAATCCTGGAGGTGCTGAATCATTTGATCGTATTCCTCATCATTGTTGTCAATGATGGCATCTTCCCATGTTGCCACAACAGAGCCAAAGAGCTCCCAGTTGGTGGTCGTTCTGGGAGTTCTCTTCTTAAACTTTGCATTCTTTTCTCCCTGTTCTGTGAGGTAGAATTTTGCACGAGGGAGATGGTGGTCCGATCCCATTTGGAATTTTGCGACAACAGCAACATCGGTTAGGCAAAATCGTCCATTGAATATGATGTGGTCAATTTTGCTGTGGAACCGTCCACCAGGAGACTCCCATGTCCAACGTTTAGATTCAGCCTTTTGGAATTGTGAGTTACCATGGATGGTCTTGGTTGACATGATGAACTCAGACAGTCTGTCACCCTGTTCATTCCATTCTAGGCCATGGGTCCCAAAGTGGAGTTCATCGGCTGATCTTCTTGGTTCTATCTTGGCACTAAAATCACCAACAATGATCTTGTAGAAGGTGTGGTCTTCTTAATAGAACTTCTCCAGCTGCATGTAGAACTTCTCCATTTCTCCTTCACCATAACAGGATGTTGGTACATACACAACAAAGATAGAAACTGCTGGCAGTGATCCACGTCTATTCAAGTGTAATCATGCAATTCGGGTTGTTAGGCATTGGAATGAATCTATGCTCATGGCCAAGTTCGCCTTGACAAGGATACCGACACCACTGATGCCTCTTTTGTCACATGTTCCAAGGAACAGTTCTTCTCCAGTGTCAAAAATGGCATGGTGTGATTGATGCCTTCTCTTTTCGGTCAGACCAATGATGTTCTACTTGATCTTTCACGCTTGTACCATCAGGTCCTCGATGGATATATCCGATGCCGGCATACGTGCATTGAAATTACAGACAATCATTTTTGTCTTTCTTCGTTTTGGCAGCCTAGTTCTGCCTTGAGATTTTGTCAGCCTCTCCTTCCACATCCTTCTCGACTCTTCCATATTCAGGGTCAGGGGAATGAGATCCATTTTTTTTTTCTTACTGGATTTGGCATATCGAATATACCACGGATAGTTTGTCAGGCTCTGCCATGTGGGTGGGATATTTAAGGTAGTCTGAAAAAATAAATAAACATAAATATAAGGTCGCCTGGCCGCAAATGCAAATGTGGCCCCACGCTCCTGGGAGCTTGGAGTGATAATCACTGGATCCTGGCAGTTGTTGGGGTTACACGGCAGTTGATGGGTGTAACTTTCTAGCTACTGGAAGGTCCAGTCCCAAACCGTGCAGGCTTGGAGATCTCAGCCCCGCGTCCTGCACCCCTGAGTTCCTCTGCCAGTTCCTTTATGCATATTCCTAGAATGAGCAGATGCCATTGGGCTACGCTAGCATGCAACAGGGCTGAATGGAAACGTTACTGACACCCACTCCAGTAATGGATGAGTAACGGGGTATCAAGTGATAAAGTGATCAAGTGACTTTTAGTGTTTTAATTGTAGAAATAATTTTCAGTGTAGGAAAACTAAAAGATAAAGGTAAGATAATGATCTTACTTAATTTTCCCAGATATTTTTCCTTTGAAAAAAATGAATGTTACAATACCTTTTGCTCCCCGAAATCAATAAAAATTATCCAATAGCAGCTGTGACCATCATTGCTACTTTCTTACATACAAATTTATTTAAATTCATTGCAATTTCACCTTCAAAATGCGTGAGGCTCATCCAAGCGTGTGGAGAGTGGTCTCAGCATGACTTTGGCCTGGTGCCTGAGGTCTTCAGCTGCTGGGCCCTGGTGTGGACAGTCAAGCACGGGGTAGGAGAATCTGCCTTGTTCTCTCCCGGGAGCTTGGTGAAACATTCAGGTGAGTATCGGTGATTCATTAAAAAGTAAAAAATTTAAGAAAACAAATTTAAAATGGAAAAATTTAAAAAATAAATTTAAAAAATGAAATTAAATTTAAGAAAAGAAAAGAAAATGGGAGTAGGTGGGGGGCTGGGCGGCCAGGGCTATGGGGGAAGAGCGGAGAGTGTTTATTGTGCAATAACTTATTCCATCCTCATTTTTAAAAATTATTATTAGTATTTTTTTCTTTTGCTTTTTGGGTCACAACCGGTGATGCCCAGGGGTTCCTCTGGGCTCTGCACTCAGGAATTTCTCCTGGTGGTGCTCAGAGGACCATAGGGATGCTAGGAATCGAACTTGGCCGGCCACTTGCAAGGTAAACTCCCTGCCCGCTGTCATATCGCTCCAACCCTTCAATTTTTTTATTTTATTAAGTGTTTTACAATATTTGATTACATTCAATATTCAGACTCCAATCCCATCACCATTACACCTTCTCACCACCATATTTCGCATAGTTCCATCCCAAACCCCAATCCCTGTCCCAAAGCAGAACTCAAATAATCTATTCTGTTGCATTATTTGATATGAAAAACTGCCAGGGCGCTGGAGCAATAGCACAGTGGGTAGCACGTTTGCCTGGCACATGGTGAAAGTGGGTTCGATTCCCAGCATCCCATATGGTCCCCTGAGCACCATTAGCCAGGGGTAATTCCTGAGTGCAGAGCCAGGAGTAATTCCTGTGCATGAACATGTATGACCCAAAAGCCAAAAAAAAAAAAAATAATCGCTAAAAATGCTATAAAAAAAGTATCCTTAGAGGAAAGAGTGTGTATTCCACCCAGGGGCCATTAAGCCCATTTATATGAGATCACTAACATCTTGTAAAAGGTTGAGCCTTGTGTGTTTTATATATATATATATATATCTGTAAAAAATATATATATATTTCCCTCTAAGATTGGTTGCCTGCTACTATGAACTCTGTCATATGTGGTACAGCAATTTTGGAGTATGAGCTCCTGCATTTTTTGCTTTTGGGGTCACATCCGGTGGTGCTCAGGGCTGACTCCTGGCTCTGTGCTCAGGGATCACCCCTGGCAGGCTTCCAGGATGGTCCAGGGATTGAAAGTGAGGCAGCCTTGTATGAGGGGAGTGTCCTGCGCTCTGGACTCTCCGTGTCCCCGCTCCAGGGCCCCTTTAGTTCCACAGCCTTTGTTTTGGGGTCATACCTGGCACTGCACAGGGGTTACTCCTGGCTCTGCACTCAGGAATTACTCCTGGCGGTGCTCGGGGGACCATATGGAATGCTGGGAATCGAACCCGGGTCAGCTGAGTGCAAGGCAAACACCCTACCCGCTGTGCTACGCTCCAGACCCTATTCTCATTGGCAAAGTTCATTGGCTGAACTTCTTTGTCCTATATTTATTTGTTTTATTTTTTTTCTTTTCTTTATGGGTGGGGTCGGGTTTGGGCCACTCCCAGCTGTGTTCAGCCCGTCTGGCTCTGTGCTCCAGGATCACTCCTGGTGAAGCTGAGGAACTATATGAGGTGCCAAGGATTGAACGTGGGTTGTCCACATGCAAGGCAAGCGCCTTACCCACTGTTCTATTCCTCTGGCCCCTGTTTGGTGTCTTTTTGTTTTTGTTTTTTGTTTTTTCTTTGTAGCCCCTGTTCAGTTTCTGTGGATACTGTCACAGTTGTAATTACTAAAGAATGTAAATATTTTGGAATGGGCACTCATTTCCTGTATATTCTTTGCAGACATCCGGGAACTGATCGAGGTGGATGATGTGATGGAGGACGGTTCCCTGCGCTTCGGTCCCAATGGAGGACTGGTGTTTTGCATGGAGTACTTCGCCAGTAACTTTGAGTGGCTGGAGAACTGCCTTGGCCATGTCGAGGATGACTGCATCCTTTTTGACTGTCCAGGTAGCTCAGTAATTAGATTGTCATCTTCCCTGGGTTGTGCAGTTCTGTCCTTGGTGGGAGAAAGTGAAATTAGCATCTCATTTACTTTTACCCCAGATTCTTGGACAGTGGACAGTCATCCCATGAGGGGCTGTGGAATGTCTGTTTTCTTCTGTTTGGGGGCCACATGCAGAGGTGCTAGAGGCTGGGGCTCTTCCTAACTGTTATCAGGGGGTTGCTCCCAGCCCTGCTTGGGGAACCAAAGCATGCTGGGAACTGAGCCCAGGCTTTCTGCATGCAGAGCATATGCTCAGTCTCTTGTTTCTTGGGTCCCAGGTCATGCAGCTTTTTTTTGTTTGTTTGTTTTACAGGTCACACCTGGTGATGCTCAGGAATTACTCCTGGCTTTGCACTCAGGAATCACTCCTGGCAGTGCTCAGGGGACCATATGTGATGCTGGGAATCGAACTCAGGTCGGCTGCGTGCAAGGCGAAGGCCCTACCTGCTGTGCTATCACTTCAGCTTCGGTCATGCAGCTCTTGAAAGGTTTGCTTTAGAGCTAGAGAGACAGAAGGATGGGTAGGATGCTGCGGCAGACACAGGTTCAGTCCTTGGCACCATATATGGTTCCATGAGTACTAGTGGGTATGGGCCAAAGCCAAGGTATTTTTTTTTTAGGGCCATAGTATAGCAGCTAAAGCCCTTGCCTTGCTTTCTGCCAGCCCAAGTTTGGATCCCTGGTACCAGATAGGATGCCCCAAGCACTGCCAGGAGTTATTTTTAGTACAGAGTCAGGAATCCTCCCAGAATACCAGTGGGTGTGACCCAAACTTCCTCCCCTCACACTAAGAGAATAAAAATTTGTTTTAAAATCTGTCATTGTCGGGGCTGGATCAATGTGATAGCACAGCAGGTTGGGCGTTTGCCTTGCACATACCCGACCCAGGTTCGAATCCCAGCATCCCATATGGTCCTCTGAGCACCGCTAGGAGTGGTTCCTGAGTGCAGAGCCAGGAGTAACCCCTGAGCCTCTCTGGGTGTGACCCAAAATGCAAATAATTATAATAATAATAATAAATTAATAAATGAAATCTCTGTGACTGTTCTCCCGTTGTTCATTGATTTGCTTGAGCAGGCCCAGTAACTTTTCCATCGTGAGACTTGTTGTTACTGTGTTTGTCATATCGAATATGTCACAGGTAGCTTGACAGGCTTTGCCATGTGGTCAATATACTCTCGGTAGCTTGCTGTGCTATCCGAGAGGGGCAGAGGAGTTGAACCCGGTTTGGCTGTGCCGGCTGCCAGCATGGCAAATACCCTAGCACTGTGCTATTACTGCAGCCCGTTTTAAAATCATTTTTAATAATTTTCGTGCAACCGGCCAACATGGCCGACTGGAGTTTGATTCCTTTGCCCCTCTTGGAGAGCCCGGCAGGCTACCGAAGAGTATCTCGCCTGCAGAGCAGAGCCTGGCAAGCTCCCCGTGACATTTTCAATATGCCAAATACAGTAACAGTTGCACAATGGAGATGTTACTGGGCCTGCTCGAGCAAATCGATGAACAGGAGGACAGTGATGATGATGATGACTGTATATTTTCTTTGTATGCCCCCTTTACATACATGTACACCCAGAGTTGCTTAAAAATTTCTTGGGGGGGTCAGAGGAGCGGGTGTGATAGAACAATGGGTTGGGCGTTTGCCTTACATTCGGCTGACCCGGAACCCCAGCATATCATATGGTCCCCCGAGCACTGTCAGTAGTAATTTCTGAGTGCAGAGCCAGAAGTAACCCCTGCACATCGCCAGGTATGACCCAAAATGAAAAAAAAAATATTGGGGGAGCCAGAGATACTACAGTGTGTAGGGCACTTGACTTGCACACTGCTAAGGTGATCCCTGATATCCTATATGGTTCCTGGAGCCTTCCAAGAGTCATCCCTGAGCACAGAATCAGGAATTAGCCCTGAGCACTATCAGGTAGTCCACAAAAAAAAAAAACAAAGAAAAATTGAATATAGTATAGGGCTAGAGAGATAGTGGGCTGGGGACATGCTTTACATGTAGTGGGCCTTGCATGTAGTAGGCCTTGCATGTAGGACTCTGAGTAGCTTCGAGCCCTCCCAGCAGTTTCGGGGAGACTCTCAAGCATCCCCACGTGCGGCTTAAAACAAGCAAAATTGAATATATTACTTCTGGGGATTGACTTCCTTTAAAAAATTTGGGGGGCACCGCGGGTGCCGTATCTGATGAAGCTCAGGGGTTACTCCTAGCTCCTGTGCTCAGGAATTACTCCTGGCTGTGCTCAAGGGACCCTATGGGATCGAACCCAGGTTGGCTGTGTGCAAGGCAATTTCCCACCCTCTATACTATCTCTCAAGCCCCCTAAGACAGTTTCCGGGAAAAGTTTTTATCCCATAATTGAGGGTTGAATGTATTTCATGCTTATAATAAGCTTGTGTTCTTGTAGGTCAGATCAAGTTGTACACACACCTGCCCGTGATGAAACAGCTGGTTCAGCAGCTGGAACAGTGGGAGTTCCGAGTCTGTGGAGTGTTTCTTGTTGATTCTCAATTCATGGTGGAGTCTTTCAAGGTTTGAAACTATACCTGTCCTTGATTTTCAGTCTCCGGCACAAGCAGAGTACAAATACCTTTAGTCATAATCGTTTAATTGTTAACAGTTCATGAACTATACCCCGGAGTGACATAGAACTTATTTTTGTTAAATTAATATGCCAAGAAGATGGCTCCAGTGGCAGAGCACAGAGCTGGCATGTTCGAGGCCCTGAGTTTGCCCCTTGTGCAGTTCTAGTGGTCCCCAACTCTCAGCTGTCGCCTTCAGGAGTCGTCCTAGGGTGGTGTCAGAAGTAAGTCCCAAGCACCACTGTGTGTGGCTCCAAAACTAGAAAAAAAAAGCTGGATGCCTGAGAGATAGTACAGTGGGTAGAGCTCTTGCCTTGCATGTGGCCCGCCTGGGTGTCATTCCTGCCATGCTGCCACCGGGCCCCCCGAGCCCCTCCAGGAGTGATCCTGGACCACAAAGCTCAGAGTACTACTAGGTATTCCCCAAACCTGAAAGGGAGGGCGTTTGGTTCCGTCTCCAGCACCCATATGGTTCCCAAAGCTGCTGAGGAGTAATTCCAGGGTGCAGAAGCAGAAGTGACCCTTTAGTTATATCAGGGGATTGTGTGACCCAGAAACCCAAAAGGAAACACCCATCAGGGGAGGTGGAGGGGGAGCATGAGAGAAGATAACGTTAGAGGGTCAGAAATAGTACAGGGCTTCTCAAAAATAAATAAATAAATAAATAAATAAGTAAGTAAATTTTAAAAATGGGGGCAGGAGTGATAGTACAGCGGGTAGGGCCTTGCACACAGCCAATCCGGGTTCGATGCCTAGCATCCCTGAGCACCACTAGGAGTAATTCCTGAGTGCAGAGCCAGGAGTAACCCCTGTGCATTGCCAGGTATTACCACCCTTCCCTTCCCCCCCAAAAATAGTAAAGGGCTTAAGGAGCTCGCCTTGATATGGCCCACCTGCTTTTAATCTCTGTCACTACATGTTTCCTCAGTACTGAACTCAACCCCAGCTACCTCCTGAACACTTTAAAATATTGTTGAGTGGAGAAGTGTGGTCACTGTAGATCGCATTTCTCCTTCCCATCTCACCTTTAGAATCCTAAGGTCAGCTATTGGCCCAGCAGTCTTCTGTTAGGCCCAGCCTGCCAGTGCTCAGGGCTCACTACTGGCGCTGTGCTGAGGAATCACTTAGGTAGTGCTCTGGGAACCCTGTGGAGTGCTGGGCTAGAACCTGGGCTGTCCAGGTGCAAGGCAAGCGCCTTAAAGCCTGGACTCTTGCTCGGGCCCCAATCTTAGCGTTTCTCGTATTTACGTGAGTTTTGTTCCAGTGGGGATCAGAAACCTTTTATGTGGACACTGTTGGTGACAACTGATTCATCGTCCCTTTCCTGCTTCCTCTTTCAGCTTATTTCTGGCATCTTGACAGCCTTGAGTGCTATGGTATCTCTAGAAATCCCCCAAGTTAACATTTTTTTCATTTCATTTCATCATCCTGTTATTCGTCGATTGCCTCGAGCAGGCCCCAGTAAGGTCTCTTTCATCCTAGCCCTGAGATTTTATTCAAGGCTCTTTAGGAGAATGAGACCCATCATTGTTACTGGTATTTTGCATATTTGGTATGCCACGGGGAGTTTGCCAGACTCTGCCTTGTGGGCAGGCTACATTTTACATACCTGTGCACCCAGAGTTGCTTAAAAAATTCTTGGGGGGGCCAGGGGAGCGGGTGTGATAGAACAATGGTTTGGGCGTTTGCCTTGCATGCGGCTGATCCCGAACGCCTGCATCCCGTATGGTCCCCCGAGCACTGCCAGGAGTAATTCCTGAATTCAGTGCCAGAAGTAACCCCTGCACATCGCCAGGTGTGACCCAAAATGAAAAAAAAATTATTGGGGGACCCAGAGAGATACTACAGAGGGTAGGGCACTTGCCTTGAACACAGCTAAGGTGATCCCTGCTACCCTATATGGTTACTGGGGCCTGTCAACAGTCATCCCTGAGCACAGAATCAGGAATAAGCCCTGAGCACTATCAGGTTGTCCCCCCCCAAAAAAAAAAACCAAAATTGAATATAGTTTAGGGCCTAGAGATATAGTGTGCTGGGGACATACTTTACATGTAGTGGGCCTTGCATGTAGTAGGCTTTGCATGTAGGACTCTGAGTAGCTTCGAGCCCTCCCAGAAGTTTCAGAGAGACCCTCAAGCATCCCCACGTGCGGCTTAAAACAAGCAAAATTGGATATATTACTTGTAGGGATTGACTTCCTTTAAAAAGAATTGGGGGGGGGACCGCAGGTGCCATATCTGATGATGCCCAGGGGTTACTCCTAGCTCCTGTGCTCAGGAATTACTCCTGGCTATGCTCAAGGGACCCTATGGGATCGAACCCAGGTTGGATGTGTGCAAGGCAAGTTCCCACCATCTATGCGATCTCTCAAGCCCCCTAAAACAGTTTCTAGGAAAAGTTTATTTTCCCCATAATTGAGGGTTGAATGTATCTCATGTTTATAATAAGCTTGTGTTCTTGTAGGTCAGATTGAGTTGCACACACACCTGCCCGTGATGAAACAGCTGGTTCAGCAGCTGGAACAGTGGGTGTTCCGAGTCTGTGGAGTGATTCTTCTTGATTCTCAAATCATGGCGGAGTCGTTCAAGGTTTTTTAACTATACCTGTCCTTGATTTTTCAGTCTCCGGCACAAGCAGAGTACAAAAACCTTTAGTCATAATCGTTTAATTGTTACCAGTTCCTGAACTATACCCAGGAGTGACTTAGAACTTATTTTTGTTAAATTAATATGCCAAGAAGATGGCTCCAGTGGCAGAGCACAGAGCTGGCATGTTCGAGGCCCTGAGTTTGCCCCTTGTGCAGTTCTAGTGGTCCCCAACTCTCAGCTGTCGCCTTCAGGAGTTGTCCTAGGGCAGTGTCAGAAGTAAGTCCCAAGCACCACTGTGTGTGGCTCCAAAACTAGGGAAAAAAAGAAAGCTGGAGGCTGGAGAGATAGAACAGTGGGTAGAGCTCTTGCCTTGCATGTGGCCCGCCTGGGTGTCATTCCTGCCGTACTGCCACCGGGCCCCCTTAGCCGCTCCAGGAGTGATACTTGACCACAAAGCTCAGAGTACTACTGGGTATTCCCCAAAACTGAAAGGGAGGGCGTTTAGTTCCGTCTCCAGCACCCATATGGTTCCCAAAGCTGGTCAGGAGTAATTCCTGAGTACAGAAGCAGAAGTGACCCCTTAGTAATATCAGGGGATTGTGTGACCCAGAAACCCAAAAGGAAACACCCATCAGGGGAGGTGGAGGGGGAGCATGAGAGAAGATAATGTTAAAGGGTCAGAAATAGTACAGCGCTTCCCAAAAATAAATAAATAAGTAAATTTTAAAAATGGGGGCTGGAGTGATAGTTCAGCGCGTAGGGCCTTGCACACAGCCAATCCGGGTTCGATTCCTAGCATCCCTGAGCACCACTAGGAGTAATTCATGAGTGCAGAGCCAGGAGTAACCCCTGTGCATTGCCAGGTATTACCACGCTCCCCCCCCAAAAAAAAATAGTAAAGGGCTTAAGGTGCTCGCCTTGGTGTGGCCCACCTGCTTTTAATCCCTGTCACTACATGTTTCCTCAGTGCTGAACTCAACGCCACCTACCTCCTGAACACTCTAAAATATTGTTGAGTGAAGAAGTGTGGTCACTGTAGATCACGTTTCTCCTTCCCACCTCACCTTTAGAATCCTAAGGTCAGCTATTGGCCCAGCAGTCTTCTGTTGGGCCATTTCTGGCAGTCCTCAGGGCTCACTACTGGCGCTTTGCTGAGGAATCACTTAGGTAGTGCTCTGGGAACCCTGTGGAGTGCTGGGCTAGAACCTGGGCTGACCAGGCGCAAGGCAAGCGCCTTAAAGCCTGGACTCTTGCTCGGGCCCCAATCTTAGCGTTTCTCCTATTTAGGTGGGTTTTGTCCAGTGGGGATCAGAAACCTTTTATGTGGACACTGTTGGTGACAACTGATTCATCGTCCCTTTTCTGCGTCCTCTTTCAGTTTATTTCTGGCATCTTGGCAGCCTTGAATGCTATGGTATCTCTAGAAATCCCGCAAGTTAACATCATGACAAAAATGGACCTGCTGAGTAAAAGAGCTAAAAAGGAAATTGAGAAGTAAGTTCACTATAATTAACGTCACATTTGCAGTGCTGAACCTTTTTCGTTTCACTTCGATTGTCAGTCTACAAATTTAGTGTTTCGAATTCTTTGCTTCACCAGACTATCATTTTTGAAGGTTTCTAGATCCAGGCATGTATTCTTTATTAGATGATTCTACAAGCAACTTCAGAAGCAAAAAATTCAAAAAATTGACTAATGCCATATGTGGGCTGGTAAGACTTTGTATTTTTCTAATTTTTGGTGGTTGGGGGGTGGGCCTCCTATGCTGTGGGGCCAAGGGGCCACTCTGATTATTGGCCCACCAGGCTAGTAGTGGTCAGTGCTGGGGCCCTGAGGGCCGTATCAGCACTATTGTTTGCTTCCTGGCTGTACCCAACAATGCTCAGGATGCCATCTGGTGCCAAGAATGAAGCCCTGTGCTAATCCCTGGGCTGATGAGTTTTGCAAGTGTTTGGGGTTGTTGTGGGTTGTTTTTAAGGTTTGAGGGCCACACCCGGTGGTGCTCAGGGGCTGTTTCTCCCCTGTGCCTGGTGGACCATATGTGGTGCTGGGTGTTCAAACTGAGGTGTGTGGGGTGCAGGCCAGTTGTAACCCCTGTCGTAGCTCTTCATCACCTCCCCCCGCACGTCCCTAGACACATATTTTTCTTAATGGTCTTGTCACATGATTACACACCCCCAGGCAGTGGCCACCATATGGACGGCACAGACAGGCGCATTTCTTTTTATAGGGGAGCAGCATGTTGGGAGCAGTGGGCTGTCTGCTTCGAAGTTAGTATAGAAGTAGGGAGAGAGCTCAGTGGGCAGCACCACTGGCTTTGCACACAAGGGGCCGAGGGTTAATCTCTGGCACCATATGGTCGCCACCAGCGTTGTCTGGATGTGGCCTCCCCTCACCTCTGAAAAAAGTTGTCATTGGTTGTAGCAGAGAGGGCAGGAGGTCACACTGAGCAGTGGTCAGAGTTTATTCTTGGCTCTGCGTCCAGAAATCATTCCTGGTGGGCTCAGGGAGCATACGGGATGCGGGGGATCGAACCCGGGTGCATCCCTTGCCTATGTGCATGGCAAGTGCCCAACTCAGTGTACGAGCTCTCCCGTCCCACAGCAGAGAAATTCTGCAATGTCTTTTTTTCCTGGCCACGTGGCACATGAGAATTGCCTGTACCCTTTTGAAATTTTCAGTGGTTGTTGAATGCAGATAAATTACTTTAAAAGAATTCTCAATTTCTGGTTGGGTCTGGAGCGATAGCACAGCAGGTAGGACGTATGCGTGGCATGCGTCCGACCCAGGTTTGATTCCTAGCATCCATAGGTCCCCTGAGCATCACCAGGAGTTATTCCTGAGTATATGAACCAGGAGTAACCCCTGTGCATCACCAGGTGTAAAGTAAAGTAAAGTAAAGTAAAGTAAAGTAAAGTAAAGTAAAGTAAAGGCCCTCCTGTTGATCTTCAATTTGCTCGAGCGGGCCCAGTAACGTCTCCATTGGAGACTTTGTTGTTACTGTGTCTGGCATATCGAATACGTCACGGGGAGCTTGCCAGGCTCTGCCGTGCGGGCGAGATACTCTCGGTAGCTGGCCGGGCTCTCCGAGAGGGGCGAGGAATCGAACTCGGGTCGGCCATGTTGGCCGCGTGCAAGGCAAACGCCCTACCGCTGTGCTATCGCTCCAAAAAGTCTTTAGTTAAGTAATGTTGTAATGTTACTAGTGTTCCAATAGGTAAGAGGTCATAAAAAAATTAATGCTGATTTGCTACTGTTCTGTCTGCTCCTCCCTGCACAGGCATAGATGGTTTTAATTAGACTACCAATGCTCACACTCAAGCGTCAGTTGCATGACCTTTCTGAAATCTCTAATTTGTAGATTGATGACTACAGCATGGTCCGATTTTTGCCTTCCGATCAATCAGAAGAAGAAAGCATGAACATTGTATTACAGCATATTGATTTTGCCATTCAGTACGGAGAAGACTTGGAATTCAAGGAAACCAAGTTAATTTCTGATGATTTAGATTTGCCAGGGCCAGAGAACGGCGCAGAGGGAAAGACCATTCTCTGCCTCCCCTAGGCTGACGCTGGGTCAGTTCCCCGTTTCATGTCTGGTCCCTGAGCACAGAGCCAGGATTGCCCTGAAAACCTCTGCCCTCCTGTTTGGTCTAAGCAGCTCCTTAAGTTAAGGTCTTGGGTACAGCAAGAGCCTGGCCCCTTCTGGCTGATCTCTGGGTGTGGCTCAAGAACTCAAAACCAAAACCAGAAAAAAAAAGAGTAACCAAAATATAAATAAATAAACATAAATAAAAAGTCCTGGGAGCTTGGTGTGATAATCTATGTATCCTGGCAGTTGTTCAGGTTACACGGCAGTTGGTGGGTATAACTGTCTAGCTACTGGAAGGTCCATTCCCAAACTGTGTAGGCTTGGAGATCTCAGCCCCGGGTCCCCCACACCTGGGTTCCTCTGCCAGTTCCTTTATGCGTGAAGCCCTTCCAAGCGTGTAGAGAGTGGTCTCAGCATGACTTTGGCCTTGTGCCGGACGTCTTCTGCTGTTGGCCCTGGTGAGGACAGTCAGGCATGGGGTAGGAGTCTCCGCCTTGTTCTCTCCCGGGAGCTTGGTGTGATAATCAAGTGATTATCAGTGATTCATTAAAAAGTAAAAAATTTAAAGAAACAAATTAAAAATGGAAAAATTCAAAAACTTAAAAATTTTAAAAATAAAATTAAATTTAAGAAAAGAAAATGGGATTTGGTGGGGAGCCGGGCGGCTGGGGCTCTGGAGGAGGAGCAGAGACTGTTTATTGTGCAATAACTTATTCCCTACCACCCTCATTTTTAAAAACTATTATTATTATTATTATTTTGCCTTTTGGGTCACACCCGGTGATGCCCAGGGTTTCCTCCTGGCTCTGCACTCAGGAATTCCTCCTGGTGGTGCTCAGAGGACCATAGGGGATGCTGGGAATCAAACCTCGCCGGCCACTTGCAAGGTAAATGCCCTGCCTACTGTCATATCGCTCCAACTCCCCAATTTTTTTATTTTATGAAGTGTTTTACAATATTTGATTATATTCAATATTCAGACTCCAATCCCACCACCATTACACCTTCTCACCACCATATTTCGGGTAGCTCTATCCCGAACCCCAATCCCTGTCCCAAAGCATAACTGAAATAATTTATTTTCTTGTATTGTTTGATATGAAAAACTGCCAGGGCGCTGGAGTGATAGCACAGTGGGTGGGATGTTTGCCTTGCATGCGGTGAAACTGGGTTCGATTCCAAGCATCCCATATGGTCCCCTGAGCACCATTAGCCAGGGATAATTCCTGAGTGCAGAGCCAGGAGAAATTCCTGTGCATCGACAGGTATGACCCCCCCCAAAATAAATCGCTGAAAATCCTATAAAAAAAAGTATCCTTAGAGGAAGGAGTGTGTATTCTACCCAGGGGCTGTTAAGCCCTTCTATAAGAGATCACTAACATGTTGTAAAAGGTTGAGCCTTGTGTGTTTATATATATATAGCACAGCGGTAGGGCGTTTGCCTTGCACACAGCCAACGTGGCCAACCCGAGTTCGATTCCTCCACCCCTCTCAGAGAGCCCGGCAAGCTACCGAGAGTATCTCGCCCGCACGGCAGAGCCTGGCAAGCTACCCATGATGTATTTGATATGCCAAACACAGTAACAACAAAGTCTGCAATGGAGACGTTACTGGACCCGCTCGAGCAAATTGAAGAACAATGGGAGGACAGTGATACAGTGAACCAAAACCCTGGTTGCAGATTACGTGGCTTTTGTGCTCCAGAACCTGATGGTGCTTTAGGCCCCCGGTTCAGAAAAGGCAAGTGCCCCACCCCCTGTGCTGTCTCGTTCGCCCCAATTTTGTTAGTGAATATCTATTATCACTACTCCTGGGTATTATAGAGCATTACCTGAACAGTAGGTCAAAACATACTGGGTCTGCGGAGAAATCAACATATTTTCTAGTTTGTGTTTTATTTATATCAGGAACATGAAGATGAGTTATCTTCTACGTTGGATGAATATTTTCAAGAATGCCAGAACAAATGAAGAGTATGTTACGATGCAACTGGATGCGGGGCTGGAGTGATAGCACAGTAGGTAGGGCATTTCCCTTGCACGCGACAGACCTGGTTTCGAATCCCAACATCCCATATGGGCCACCAAGCGCCGCCAGGAGTAATTCCTGAGTGAAGAGCCAGGAGTAACACCTGTGCTCTGTGGGTGTGACCCAAAAACCGAAAAAAAAAAAAGGCAAATGGATGCTTGTGAAGAGTAGCAATCACAATTTATTTAAATGAAAATATAACAGATAAAGTAAAAACAAAGAATAAATATCATAAAATATACCGAGGCAAGATACTCATTGGTGGGAGGGTATCCAGACAGAGACACTGATGTGAGACCCTGGGCTTCTTTCAGTTGTAGACATGCTAGGTCCTCTGGGAACTTGTCCAATGTTGCCACAGAGGGTGGCCGTGCAGCTGGTACTCGAGAGATCAGTGTTGGCGCTGACCTTGGACACGGAGCCAAGTATGCTTTCAGAGCTGGAGCTAAAGAATCAATAAGAGAAAAGGTCACCCAGAGGGCTCCTTCCATGGATTCTCCAAAGCTGACCCCAACAGGGAGCCCAGCAGGAAGGGGAGACCATGGGCCCACCTCACGGGGGTTTCCTGTGGAGGGCTCCCCGGAATGGGCTCTCTGGCCTGTGACTCTACTTTCCCACACCAGCGCCCAGGACACCTCTAGGTGGGCCTTTTCCCATTCCCCTTTTATTTGTGCATATACACACACCCCTTGGTTCTTACCCGTTTTCTCCTGGTGCTCTGAGTCTCGTTCTCTGCCATATGTGTAAGGCCATGGCATTGAAGGCGGTGCCCTTTGGGGAGTTGACACTCCTTGGCCAATCTCAAATTTCTGCTTAGATGGTGTCTGGCTGTGCTTGGGTCTGGCTGATTCCAGACTTTCTTCAGAGGAACTGGACCCAGAGGATATGTAGAAGATCTTCTTTCTCTCCTGTGGGCTGCTCTGCGGAGGGAGCGTCTCTCTCTCCTGTGGGCTGCTCTGCGGAGGGAGAACCACAAAGGCTCAGCTCCAGAAGCGCTGCTTCCCCCTCCCTTCTGAGTTCCTCCCTGCTGGTGGACCTGCATCTACACAGGCCTCCCATAGGAATGAGATTGAAACAATCAAGTTTAGAAAAGTCTTGGCCAAAGAGCACCTCCTAGTGCCAACTCAGTGAGCAGTGACCTGGCCTTGGGGGCTAGATTTGATGACTCACCTCCTAGGAGCAGGCTGCCCTCAAGATGATCTCACAACACACATACAGACACACGTATATACACAAATGCACATACTCACACACACACAGCATCTCCAGTACACACTCAAATTTACTCTCTCCGATAAACACGTTCACACCCGGGTGTGCACACTCTTCCACATACACAGCTTCTGCGCCATCACTCTCAGGGAGTGATGAAGACTGATCACGGGCATCAGTGCTGGGGTTCCCCGGGCCAGTTCCAGCTGACCTGAACTAGCGGCTGTCTTCGTGAAGAATTCCGGGGAGTTCTCCAGTGAGTCCTCACCCAGTTTCTGAATCTTTTCAGTGTCCTACACTTGGGGGTTTTACAACCACGGTTTCTTGGTAAACAGCAAAACATGTTTGCTGTCTGTGCGTTTCCGCAGTGAACCAAGTAATGAGTATGGGGGCAGTTGGGGAGGCTGCAGAATGTCTGGTTGCATCACAAAGAGAGGTCGGTGATGTCATCGAGCGCATCACAGCGAGGACAGGTCAGCTGTGGCCCTGCAGCAGGGCTTGCTCTCTGTGCAGCCCCTCTGGGCTGCTGCTTCTCTCCCTCTTCCCACAAGTCCTGTCCACGTGGTGAACTCAAGGCCCTGGGGAGAGCAGGGAGCAGCCACTTGAAAGAATGTGCTGCTAAAAAGTGATTTTCCTTTTTTTAAAAAAATATAGGTGTACTGCTATATATTCAGCCACTGATTAGGTGATTGAATTGGGCATGAACTCCACCTTACTCTCTTTTTCATTTTTTATCATTGTTTTTATTGAATCACTGTGACAGCAGTTACAAAGCTTTCGGGTCTAAGTCTCAGTCATGCAATGAAACACCCGTACCTTCACTAGTGCCCATTCTCCACTACCAAAATCCCCAATATACCCCATTCCCACACCCTCCCTATACCTGTGGGGCAGATGATTTACACATTACTCTTTCTCTCTACTTTGATCACATTACTCTCTCTCTCTACTTTGATCACTTTGACCCAGCAATACCACTCCTGGGAATATATCCCAGAGAGGCAAAAATGTATAGTCGAAGTGACAACCGCACTTGTTTGTTCATTGCAGCACTCTTTACAATAGCCAGAAACTGGAAGAAACCTGAATGCCCAGGAACAGATGACTGGTTAAAGAAACTTTGGTACATCTACACAATGGAGTACTATGTAGCTCTTAGAAAAGATGAAGTCATGAAATTTACATACAAGTGGTACAATATGGAAAGTATCATGCTAAGCGAAATGAGTTAGAAAGAGAGGGATAGACATAGAAAGATTGCATTCATCTGGGGGATATAAAGTAACAAAATATGAGATTAATACCCAAGAATAGCTGAGATCAGCACCAGGAGGATTACTCCATAACTTAGAGGCCAGCCGGTTATTCTAGAGAAAGGGCAGTTCAGATAGAGAAGGCAGCACCAAATAAAGGGTGTTTGAAGGATCCTCCCAGGAGGGGAGATGCATGTCGAAAGTAGACTATGGACTGAACATGTTTGCCACTCAATGCCTCTTTTGCAGACCACAACACCAAAAGGAGAGAGAGAACACAGGGGATTGCCCTGCCACAGAGGCAGGGGGAGATGGGGGGATGGGGGTGGGAGGGATATTATCCATGGTGGTGGAAAATGGGCACTGGTGGAGGGATGGGTATCTGATCATTGTATAATCGAAACCCAAGCACGAAAAATTGTAAATCTGCAACTGTACCTCATGGTGTTTCACTAATAAAAAAAAAAGAAAGTAAAAAAT